CACGGAAGCGAGGAGATTATCGTCGAGGGCGATCTTGAAATTACGAAAAGCCATATTAAAGGGAGATCGCATATATGGATTATTTGGGATGTGCAAGTGGAGTCCGGAGCTACAGCGCGCCTCGTTCGCAAAATTTCGTTGTTTGCACTCGTGTTTTGTAAATTGAGGATCGCTGTCGGTGATGGTCTTTAAACTCGCTCGCTTGACATTCGACCTACTCGTGGATTTCTTAATTTCGAAATCTCAGACAGTGAGCTCGTGAGATTGCCCCAATGCCCTCTTTGTTAAGTATCTTCGAGTGCTTTGGAAATTATTTATTAGTTCGCTCAAAAAGCGTAATTTCTTTAAACGCGCGTTCCATCTCGTTGGTTTGGAGCTGCGGACTTTGTTACAATGCCTACTTACGACGAACAAAGTTGTTTTTTCCTTCTGTTTTTATTAAATTAGGGACTCGTATACAGGAAGTTTATAATTCTTTCTTATCGAGAGACTTTTGTCTCTTTATAGTCCAATGCGACGTACGTGTACTAAGTATGTCGTCGAAGATATATATATAAATATGTTGTTACGTGTTCCTCTTAACGATGAAAATTGTGTAAAGATTACTCTGTGCTTCCGTTGAATAACAATTTGCATGGTACGACTGTATTTTTCTAAGAATAATACTCTCTACTTAAACATTTGTTCTACTCAATAATTGTTCGATATATAGTTGGTTACACAATTTATGTAAGTGTAACGATACTCAAGTCTCAATAACATTAAACTGAATTAATTTGACGCTGAAGTATCATTATATATTTTCATGTAAAACTATCGAATTTATAGATACAAGAGAAAACAAAAAAAAAAAAAACAAAAAAAAAATATGAGAAAGATGAAAAAACAAATATATATATATATATATATATATATATATATATATATATTCATTAAAATATTTACGCTCCGTATAAGAGACATTTAAATCATTTTCCTTAAGCCGAGCCACAAAGATATCTTAATTGCTTTTACTACGGTATATAATAAGTTAACCTATTTTTCTCCGTTAAAATTAAATAACATTTTTAAAAATGTCCAATTATAATGATAACGTAAAAATTTAATAAAGTTATTAATAACTGAGCTGACATTTCCATTACGCGCAGTTTTACGACATTACAATATTAGAGTTGCAGTTTAATTCTTTTTTTTTCTTTCCTTTTAAACCAGATGTTGTATGTAACAGTATTTTGGAAAATGTGTAAAGGAGTTCGAAAAATTCAGCACACTAAATAGATGTGACGTCGTTACCGATATTTCGGAAAAATTGCTCAAAAATATAAACGATCGCATTAGAGCGCGCCTCGTTATCGTGAATGGCTAGTATTAGTGCGCTCTTGCACACTAATAATATCAATAATCAGCGAACGAAATGACATTTTTCAAACTCCACTGATAAAAAAAAAAAAAAAAAAAAAAAAAAAAAAAAAAAAACAAGGTAATCATTGGTAAATCGAATGAAAATCCTACGCATGAGCAATAAATAAATAAATCGTTCAATTTTGAAGTCACATTGGGGCCGAATTCGTATCGGGTAACATTGGAGTGGTCGGTTAGCGCGAAAATAAGCAATAATTTTGCAATAAATTTTAAGCGACGTGGATCGTTAGAAAAATCATAGCATCTGTAAGACACGGCGACTGACGGCGGATGAAAGTGAGCGATACATATAAAAGAAAAAAGATAAGGAATAATATAGGGACAAAAAGAAAATCGATGCCAAAACGGCTCTACTTCTTCAGCCCGTGCAGGTTTTAAAAGACACTTCATTCGAAACTCACCGTATAATTTCGCGAGCTAACGCTTTCTCCGTACGCGGGAGTCGGCATGGTTGGAGACACGGGTAGCAGGGAGTAGTGGAGGACCCGGCAGGGGGGAGAGCCGAGGGGGAGATGAGCTGGTAGGAAGTAAAGAGTGAGGAGAAACGACAAGGGCGGTAAAAATAAATAACGACATAACGGCAAATTTGCGCACCCGATGCACCTCGAGTGCGCCTTGCGTCCTCCACTTTTTCTCCCTCTACTTTTTTTTCTCCATCGACTTCTGCTCCACTTGGAACGCCGTTCCCGCAGCGCACTTCCGCTTCTCGCAATTTTTCTCTTCACCTCGTCTTTAACGCCCTCTCTCCTCTCTCTTTAACGCGCGCGCGCGCGCGCGCACACACACACACACACAGAGAGACAGACAGACAGATAGACACACACACACAAACATAAGCTCAGCCGTTCTTTTTCCGTTTTCTCAAGCTCCTCTTGTGCACTCTTTGGTCTTTGCTGATTGTATTTTCCGGTCTTTTCCTACGACAGGGAATGAGGAAGGGACGGGTTTGCGGTGCAATGCCTCTGATTGAGTTTTAATTGTTGTGCTGCGCCGGGCGCGCGCGCGTAATCATAATTTCAGCCTAGGATCGTGGAAATACCACGCGTGAGATTTTTCATGCTTGCGCGACTCTTTATTAGAAGAATCATAAATATGCATAATTTTGTATTTACAGTTTTGTCTAATGTATGGAGTCCAAAGCATTATTACAATGTATCATCGCTCAATTGTGAATGCAATTGCATTATCATGGCTTTTGTGCATTACACTTAGAGTAAAAATTATAAGTAGGCAAGATATTTGTATTGTGGCATCACATTGCATTAGAGTTTCGTTATTGTGATGCTAATTAATACGATCATTTTTAAATGATTGCTTATCCGTAATTTGGAATATATTAGAAGGAAAAAATTCTATAGGCTGTGAAGAGATTTGCCAACAAAATGTGGAAACGAAAACGCGCGTAAAGCTATTGTTTGTGCAATCGACTCGTGTTCTTAACTTCGCTTAGATATTCTTAACATAATAGTTAAACTAATATTATAATGAGTGAATTAACAGTACAACAGTTAGAGTAAAGCTAACAGTGAAAAGTGTGACTTGACAAATTATAGCTCATCATAAGTCGGATGCACAAATTTCGAAATTCTATACTGATTAGGAAATCAAAAGACAATGATGAATAACAAAAAAAAAAAAAAAAAAAAAAAAAAAAAAAAATGTATAAAAATATATAAAAAAATTACATTATTAAGAAAGAGATTATTGATGAAAATGCATTAAATTCGTATTGTTACAATGAAATGATTTATTCGGCATAGATGATGTACGGTTAAAAATAACGCAAGCAGCTGGTGAAAGCTAACGTTATTTCACATCAATTTTCAATTTTTACCGATGCTTACAAATATTCCTAACTTGAAAACTATTACAATAGTTAACGAAAAATTTCTTTAGTGCGTATATTTATTAATATAAAATTCTTAATATATTACATGCTCTGAAAAACTTAAGATTTTGATGTTTTAAACATGAAATGTATTAACAACTGAGCATAAAAATGTTAATAAAATAATGGACACGAATGAAAAAAATCTTATCGAAGTTATTGTAGTAATTGTAAACTGTAAAAATACGATGATTATAAATAAACTCGAGATTTCCCAAAAATTCGAGATATAAAGAAATTTGTATCTATATTGACTGGAAAAATGCTCAACCACCCGCAATACATAATAATAATAATTATAACTCTCTCTCTCTCTCTCTCTCTCTCTCTCTCTCTCTCTCTCTCTCTCTCTCCCTATCCCTCATAATTATCTCGATTTCCTCTTTTCATCATACGTTATAAATAACTAAAGATATGGAATTAACATCGCTGGCAAAGATCTTATACCGTGTTAATGCGTGAGCACATGTTATCAGTGTAGTAAAGTAACGACATTCGCCATTTTATCGACGGTACTTTACATGTATAACGACAATCGATTGTCTTATCTGTTAATGCCTACGTAAGCCGTAACGCGCATGCTCAAAGTAGAGACTAATCCAAAAATGAAACGTGACTTCGTGTACTGAGTATTTACCATAAATGTGTCTCCTCTTCGTGACGGAACGAGCGCTTTAAGGGGCTTTGTGCACGAAAAAAAAATTTGCCTTCGGATCCCTCGTGCAAATATTCAGTTCAATAAGCAAGTCAAAATTTCTCAATTCTCTTCCCGCAACGAAGATCGGATGAATGAGTTTTCTCCGAAACTTCTTTAATCACGGAACAATCATGTAAATGCTGCTAAAACGAAAACTTAAAGCATAAGATAGGAGAGTCGATTTCGCAAATAACTTTTTAAATAAAATTCTATTTCATTCATAGTTAGATTATTATTTACTAATAGATTTGCTGATTCAAGATTGACAATTGCCTTTCTTAACCTTCCACCAATTATACACGCCATCATATTCGATCATAATAACGGCATAGCATTAAGAAAATACATCAAACAAATTATTATTCAACTATTACATTTTAACTTGCAGAATGTAGGTATATGTCATGAAAAATTCTTAAAAGCCGGAATATTCGTATGTAAATTCCTTTGGTAGATATGAGCTTTTTACACAGTAGCTATCATCCATCGTTAACACAACAGCGTCCGTACCTTTAATTTCACGACTCTTGATGAAGACAGGATACTTGCATAGAGATGCGAGAATTTCCATAACTTGTTCCTCGATATAGGCGGCATCGACGTACATTTACGGCGATTATTATGAAATGTCAAATACGCGCTCGAACGAGAATTGGCTACATTGGCTCTCGTGGCCGTTGATCACGCGTGGATTATCAGCTCTCGCAATCACGAGTCGAAACGATTATAAATAGAGTAACGCACGCGTGTTAAATTAGAAAATAGCCAAAAAGTCCTGGAACGACTGGCCTACCAATCATCAACCGGGACCATCATTAATATTCGAGGAACAATGCTCGTCGTGCAGAGGCCATTATCACGCTCGAGCCAATTGGCTGCCACGACTAATCGAGAGCGGCGGTAGAACAATGGGGCAGAGAAGCCGAGCCATTCCCTGGGCCCGGCTGAGAAAATCCCATCGAGCTAATCCAAGCGACGATCCGTTTGTTTCAGGCGAGGGCTGCGTCGAGAAGCCCGTGTCGACGCTCTGGCGCAATTACGTCAGCAGCAGTCGACCCGACGTGTCGATGAGGCTTACGGTGACGAACGGCGGCTTGACCGCCACGACCAAAGACCACGGGCTCACGGAGTACTGGGCCCACCGTGTCACCTACTGCACCGCGCCCGCCTCCCATCCTCGCCTCTTCGTCTGGGTCTACAGGCACGAGGGCCGGCGACTAAGGCCCGAGCTCAGGTGTCACGCGGCCCTCTGCTCGAAGGAGTCGACCGCGAGGAGACTCGCCACCGTGCTGAACGCGAGACTCCAGCAGGCGCTACTCGAGTTCCGGAGGGACAAGGTCTCGAAGCAGAACGCCAGGTAAGCTACTCCTTTTACATAAATTCGATATATTAACCGCCGCGCTCCACCGAATGGTTTTAAAGCTCCGATGGCTTATTCAAAATCTTATTCAAAAAGCATAGTGCATCTCATAAATCAGGCTGATCAAATTATCTAATCGAATAAAATGATAAAGCAATGTTTAATGCAACTCGCCCTGATTGCTTAATAATGGGCAATTAGTGTTTGCCGAATTGCATGGAGCTCGTGAATGAGCTCGTGAATTTCGAACGACAAAGACAACGACCCCGTCGGCATTCTCACAATGACATTTGCTCGATTCGAGGAAATATCGATAGCGCGATTATGTGAGATTTTCTCAGGAGCTTTTACGCGTAAGAAAAAACATAGGTTGTTTATCGTGTGATTCTGTGGATTAAAATTGTCGCCATTTTTTGTTTTGTAGTTCTTATTTGTCAATTGAAAAAAAAAAAGAAAAAAAAGCCACTTAAGCGAGTGCGCCAGATCGAGTGCGTCCAGGCAAATTTTTTCAGATTTTTTGCTCCCCGGTTATGATACACGTGCTGCCGGTACATTTTTATAAACTATATATGTGTAAAAAAAATTGTTTAATAAAAACGGTAACTCGTTTTAGTCTATTGAATATTATAATTTAATGCTAATGTGAGGAGATTAGTCGTTTGCTGGAGATTCAAAATTTATAAAATATTGGAATTGATTAATTAAAAGTTCTTACATAAGAATACTTTGCATTCCGAAATGATTATTTGAAAGAAGCATCAAATGCTTCGAAAAACCGTGTAAGCTACGATCGATTACATAAAATCGACACGAGCGGTTTTCTAGTTGACAATCATCCAATTCAGCCCTTTAAAGATGAATTTTGCAAGATCAACGAAAAAAGAATAAAAAAAAAAACGTCGATCAAGTGATATAAGCAAACTCGTCGATTAAATAACAAATGAATAATTAATATTATTAAAAAACAGTCATTTATCACAAAATATATATTGATAAAAGCTGATATTTTTCGTTTTACGAAACAAATATTGTAATGACATGTCGTCTATACATACCTATGCAATATATGGAAATACGTACAAGCACGCACACACAATTCAGTACGGAAAGAATTTAACAAACACTGATTATCCACAAGATTATCGAATTACGTTGTGTTTAATGACATTTCCAAAGTTAATAAATCTTAATTAATTATTATTATGTATGTCACTAAGTCTTGGGAATTCCGTTTATATAATGGCATGCCAATTAAATTAATATTACAAAACAATCAAATTAATGTATATGCATATAAAATTTATAATCTTTAGTGGAAACGCCTTAAAGAAAGATTTTCAAAATATATTACGATTTAATCGTTATAACGTTGAATTATCGCAAAATTATCTGAGAATACAATTACTATATTAATTATAATTAATTTAATAATATTATCGTAATAAAGAAAAGGGGGGAACATATTAAAAATAATTAATAACGATATATAAAAATTATTGAATTACAATACAGGTATAACTAATCATAAATTATGACGCGATTGTTGATATAATGAATAGTGGATTAAAGGAAATAATTTTTAGAAAATGTATAAATTAGTCGAAACGTGTAAATATAAGTAATAGGTAAGTTTTGGGTATTAGGTATTTAAAGTAAAGAAGCAAAGATTTACAAAAATTTATCTTATAGCAATTCACTATGTTTAATAAAATTGATAATTAATGGTATTGTTTAATGAAAAAGTAGCTACAACGTTAGTTTATATTAAATTTAACTTTTAATATTATATTGCGACGCAAAGATTCGTTTGGTATTATTTCAATATTATGGCATTATTATAATTTTCATAATCACGAAATCGGAATTACACTTTTTCCATGAAAGTTTTATTTATTAATAATGCAAGATTATTTTTTTTTTGTAATCACAAATGTTACTTATTTCCGCGACTAAAGTATATTGGAAATGATGCCGGGAAAATTTTTAAATATTGTTTTGCCTGAAACTGCAATTTATATTTTTAAGAAAATTTTCACTCTCATTTCGAGCTCCATCGAACAGTGTTAGTAGCAGTTTCCTCTCAAAGACACACAAAGGCTTGTTATTTAAACATAACCACCATTAAAAGGAATTTAAATTTATTTTTACGCACTGTCAAATTGATAGAATGATTAGTCGAAAAATTACATCGCCAACATTGGAATCCCCAAGGAATATAAAAAAATCATGGAATTTCTCATTCGATTGCATTGAATTCACATATTCAACTTTTTATGGCCTAATAATCATCGTTCTTGAACTTATTTTGACAAAGTCAAATATAATCATTGACTTTGCAATCATAAACTGAAATTTCAATGAAAATAAGAAAATTGAAACACAAGCTAAAATAAATGACGTATTTACGATCTTTTTTTCTATTTGAACAGTGTACCGGTTTTTGATCAATTATCTATTATGTAGCATAAGATTTTAAATTTCAGTTTCAGTTGAAAAAGATGAATAATCTTTCGAGAATTCAACCAGTCAAGGTTAATAGAGTCGTCAAATTCCTGTAGAAAATCATAATCGACTCAATAATGAGAAAATCAGTGCTGCCTTTCTTTACTTATATGATTTTTCAACTTATCGTTAATGTTCAAAAAATAAATTTGCCGCACACAACAATCGAATAAATATGGCGGGGGGGGGGGGGGGATTAGAAGAAATTACAATATAAAATGATTTCTGCGTAATATTTTCGAATACGGGCTTAAATCCAATAATCTTCACTATACATTTAATATTACAGGAATTTACGTATATCGATTGAGCGAAACTTGAATTTAAAGTTAAATCTTGCATGCAACAGGCGCGCATAGCTTAATTCAATGATAAATTAATATTCGTAAATAATTTTAAAGCAAGAAAAACAGCACCAAAAGAATTATCATAAAAATAAATTATAGGCTATTATTTAGCTTAAGAGCAATCGATAATTATAATATAAATAATCGCTTTCGTTTCTCCTCACAATTAACATAATATATTTTATTTTCATAAATCTTTTGCAAAATATTTTGATAAGTGTGTACTGCATTATTACTACATTACATGTACAATCCCACAATATTATACAATATTATAATAAAACTTTCGTTTTTAATGGCCTATCGCGATTTCACTTATCGGAAGCTGATAATGAATTCAAAGACATTTAATTTATTACTCGGGGCGAATGCTAAGAGAGAAATTTTGTTATTAATTATTAAAATTAATTATTACGTAATTTCGATTTTAACAATATATCACGGACAACATATTGACATGTTAAAATTAATCGTAAATTTGTAATCAACTACTATACGTTTTTATAAATACTCGTCGTACTCATTGTCATTTAAAATGCTTTGAAAATTTTTAAATTTTATAATAATTATTGGTCAATAATAAAGGCCTCGCTTTTATGGGAAATGGAGATGATTTCTATAGCTTCGTATTGTGCATAATATTGTATTATTATGAAAAATTTCGAAACAAAATTTCATAAACAATAAATAGTTTATATTCCTAGGTAATAATAAAGAAATGAAATTCCTTCGTTTCCGCTGATGGTGACGTACATATTGCAAAAATACGTCACATTTTCGTGAGAGTTTTCCTTTTATCCACCCTAGAGTTGCTTATACATACGCATACGGACACGTGATTTATTTGGCATTTAATCTTATTGAGCGAAACGATGCAAATGATAATTTACCGTTAATTTTATCGAGCACAATTATCTTATTTAAATGAATTTATTTTTTTATTTATTTCGTTAATTTTTGTTATTTTATTTTATTTTATTTTTTTTTTTTTAATAAGGGCTTCAAAAACCTCAAAGTATCGTACTAATATTTCCATAAGATTATACGAAACTTTTCAAATATTTAATTCCATATTAAATTATCGTCAAGATCCCTATTAGAAAGCGGTAATTTGAGCTCTTGGACGCTATTAGTGTGGCACTTTTTCCCATTCGCAATTATACAAACAGTAGCTTTCAGGCTAATAATATTTAGCTCGTTAATTCGACTTGTTGACGTTTTAATAATACAATGGGGTGACACTTTGTCGGCTGTGCAATCAATCGCTTATAACTAATATCATCAACGCAAGAGTCCAACATACGAGAGAATTAGGCCTTGTTGGCCGTACCGATAACTTAGTCACTGTCCCCCACCCCCTTGAGAATGTCTTGAGAATAACGAGGGCGCAACGAGTATGAAATTTCATTGGGTTCAGTCTTTGTTTAATGGATGGCCGTCGTTAGGAGACGGTTGGATTGATGGGCTGCAACTCAACCACCTCCCGAGGGACGTGCAAGACGAGCCGGCCCTACACCCTCCATCCTATCCCTCTAATGACCATGGGCTTCTTCGTAGGTTATCGCTGGCGAATGCGGTTTACGAGAATCCCTCGCTGCCCAGGCGCAAGATCCTCCTGAGCACGGGTGGCTCCAACTACCGGCCGCCCTTAGAGCGCTCTAAGAGCGCCCCGAAGCTCTCCGCGATCGAGGAGGACGCGGTCGCTGAAGAGATCGAGCAGCAGCGCTTTCTGGACGAGCTCCGCTCCCTCGAGCACGTGGCACGCACCTGGCAGGAGCAGGAGGGCTGGAGGCTTGCTAGGCTCCTCGACGCCCTCCACCGGGAGTCCTCGGACGAGAACGGCAGCATATCAAGCGGCTGCGAGACAGCGAGCACCGCCAACAGCGAGGAGCGGGTATCCAGCAGCGAGGACTCGCATTTGCCCCACGAGCCCGACCTACTTAACGGTAAGGCCGCGCCTTGGGTAATCGATACGCCCACACGGGCTTGGCGCTAGGGCCGACCCTGGCGCGGGGCCTCGAGCTCCACCGCCTCTTGGCCCCGATTTCCGGTTATGGTGCGCGGGTCGACAACGAAGGTCGCCATTTCGCATTGGACGTGCGCGTGCCTACGCTTCGCCGACGGCCGCTGAGACGTTCGCACGTTCCACCATAATCCGCCGATTCATAACAATTTACGCGGACGCGGAAGCCCATTTCGTATACGTCGCTTCCTAGCCACGTAGAAAATCGAATTTCCACCGCCTCGATCTGTAGAAATATGCAATCTCATTTTCATTAGCAATCTCCAGTCCAAAGCCAAAGTTCGAGCGCCTCTTTATTGAGTCTCATGATTCACCTCCCCCCCCCCCCCCCCACCACCACTCTGTCTCTCCCCCAGCGCCCGAAAACCCCTTCCCAAGCCCCTTCTCAAGCCCCTCGAGCCTCTCCCTCCAGACATCCAATACCATCCGAGTTTCTTTTAACCTTGCCGCGAAGGTCCCGATTCGCTACCGTCTCATTTCCACTCATCCTTTGTCCTACGATTCCCGTCCATGCGCTTCACAAGGAAGATCGACACTCCGCACCCCGTTAACGCGTTAATTAACAGTGCAGAATGTTAATGTTAATTGGTGGTGAGCTTTCGATTATCGAACTCGAATTCACCATAAGGTGTAACGTTGATTTTTTCATGGTGAAAGATTTCAAATTAATTAATCACCTTCTTTCGAGCGGTGATTACGATTATTCTGCCAATAATTAATTTATCGAGGTCGGGACGAAATTTCGAAATGCGAAAAAATACGAGCACAACGTTTGTACATTTATGCTAATGGCCAAGATAATAAAGATATCGTCTTCGTTAGAATTCATTTTTTCATACATGTAAATTCCGAATTTTCAAACTTAGTAACGAGCTCAACGACAAATTATCACGAAACGCTTATGCTATCCTTCCGATTTCTCTACAATTTGAATGAAAAATAGCCGTTACAAGCCGTTCCCGCGTAAATACATTATCGAGATCGAAGAAACATAATTCATTTACATTTTCCAGTTTTGTTTTCAAATTCAAGTTCAAAGCGTATATAATAATTCGCTCAGACGCGATTTATCAACGTTTTATCGAGCACTCCCTTCCCCTCCCCGATCCACGCCCTTCATCCCATTCACGCATCTTACTATACTTTATATTTATAGGTTATAAAAAATATTTACATAGAGTCACTGATATATTTACGGCTCATTTACGGCGATAAATAAAGGTGGCTGGTGGAAGGTTAGATGACACACGACTTTCATGTTGATTTTAAGTAACACGAAATATCGTGAACCGTACACTCATTGGCTCGTAGCTTATGTAAGAATGGCTATATAATCGCGAGAGTAAGCATTGAAAAATCTTAATCTATTAAGTAGTTGGATATGCGCATACGAACAAGCTGATATACAAGCCGTTGCAATTTGCATTTATTTTAATTTTTTTTAATTTTTAAATCAATGATAAATATGCGCTCGATGTAGAGTCCAAACTCTCTTAACGGCCCATACCGCTCCATGACACGTAAAAAAGAGAAAAAATAAATAAATAAATAAATAAATAAATAAACAAAAATCAAACATTAGCATCCGTGTGCGAAGGTGTCGCGAGAAACATTCGGGATTGATCGTTAAACATTGTATTGTCCTCAATCGACAGGTCAGCGGTTAAATTGCTCCAAGTCGAGTGTGACGACGCCGACGATGACATCGACGGCAACGACGCCGAAGACACCGACGCTGCCCATATCACCGCTCTGCAGTGCCGTCGGTATCCAGCAGTTGACGGGCCCTCGACGGAACTCCGAGGGCTCGCTGAACTTCATGAGCTGCGCTATCAGCCCGCGCTTCCGTAGGCGGAGCAGCCGCCAAACGCGTCGCCGCAATCGGAAGCTGCTGATGATGAGCGGAGGCTGCGGTAGCGGGGGCAGCGGCGGCAGCAGCCTCTCCCTCTCGCGTAGCGAGGGCGAGGAGTCGCTCGAGGACGAGGACGAGGACGAGGACGGGCTCATGATGCTCGAGGATGCGAGCGGCTCGCCCGCGGTCAGTGCCACCGCCAATTACTACGACTACGAGGACGTCGAGGACCTCCAAGAGATTGTCGACTTCCGACCCCACGGTGAAACAGTGCGGACGTCCTGTGGCGTCGTTGGTGGCGTTGGTGGCAGTAGCGGCTGTAGCAGCGGCGGCGGCGGCGGCGGTGGCAGCGGCGGTGGCAGCGGCGGATGCGGCGGCGGATTCAGCGGAGGTGGTGGTAGTGGTGGCTGCGGCGGAGGCGGCAGCGCCGGTCAAGTCGCAAATAGGCTGCAGGTGAGCGACCGGTCTCTTTCGCCACGGCTTTCGAAAGTTTCGCTCGAGGCGACGACGCCTTGGCCAACCAACCCTCCGATCGAAATGACCGATCGCCCGCTTTTGCTCGGGCAGTTTGCGCTAGGGGAAGAGGAGGAGCAAGAGGGGAGATTGAGGCGTTTGCAATTACATCTTAAATCTTACGCACTGGCAACTGGCAACGCCGAACCTGCGACCAAACCTCCTTCCTTCGAACTCCCAAGCCTCATATATCGAGGATAAATATTACGCGACGTATTGGCATTCAACCTTTCTCCACTTATCGTCTCGCGTGTACACTTTGCGTAATTGCGTCGGCTAGGCTTTCTATACATTGCACATCCATTACTCGATCGAGGCTTAAATTTGTGAATAACTAGCGAGTAATCGCGCCTCGCAATTCGTCGTCTTTTCCAATATTTCGTAACCGATGCTAATAATCGCCGAGGCGCATGAGGTGTGCATTGAGGTAGTACGACTTCGATACTCTCAAAGCATTCGACAAATAAGATAATAATAAAGGGAGATTTGTATAATAATCGCGTATTGACAATTTCAAATATTAAAGCATCGTTGACTTAATGCTGTCGTTAAGGCAGCTGCTGATCATTAAAATTACCGAATTTAATGCCCCTTTTTCTTCACCCCTCCGCCACCCCCACCACCACCCATTATTGAACCTCAATCGACTCTCGCAAACTGAATCGATAGTACTTTGTGGCTACTACTTCGAATTAATTAATTGTTCTTCGTTGCAGACGGAGAGTTACGCAGCCCTGATGGCGCGCCGTGACGAGGTGCGGAAGCTGATAAGCTGCCGACGAGCGTGCCCGGGTAGAGACGAGATCGACGCTTGCGTCAAGGACGAGGTGAGCTGCAGGACGTACGTGAGCCCAAAGACGCTGGCGTCGACGCCAGTGAGCTCGACGACGCCGGCATCGACGATGCCGACAGCGGTGGTGTTCCATACTCTAGGCTCTCTGGACGAGGAGGAGGCCGATAGTGACGAAAGCGGCTACGTCGAGGCCTCGCCCAAGAGCTCGATGGACCGTGCGGAGCTCAAGAGCCGCAAGGAGGAGCAGCTGGACAAAGAGCAGCAGCAACAGCAGCAGCCAACGACGACGTCGGCGATAGCTACGGAGGCTAACGAGGAAACGCCGACGAAGACTTCGGAGCACGCAGAATTCATCAAGTGTCCGATATCCGAAACGATCAAAAAGCTCGCGAACGCCTCGCTGAGAAGCTCAAAGGCAATGAGGGCGTCGACGGGGGCGCGAATCGAGGCCCTCGGCAAGTCAGTCGCCACTAAGCCAGAGATCGACGGCGAGTCGCCAAGCCTCGTCCAGAGGAAGCGACTCCTTGCCCAACAAGGCGTTACCGTCTGAGTGCGTGCGACGCGATGATTTCAATATCGTTTTTCCTTGGTTTGTTCGCTTTAGAGTGAAATTTGAGGTCGAGGAGCGAGACGCGAGGGATCGGTTGCACGGGATTCGTAGCTTTTGCGCCTTGGGGTTTCGTTGGTAAGGAGGAACTAATTTATGAATGTACCATCGAATCTGGAATGTTAATGTAGCGCGACTTTTCGAAAGGATATTTTGCTTGTTCTTAATAAGCGTAGTATTGTAATATTAGTACTTAAATGATGTCGAAAAGTCCGTGATTTTAATGCGTTTAGGATGTAAAATTGTGTGCAAACGGTTTGATTTTTTTTATGGCCTTGATAAATTATTTTAAATATAAGAAAGTACTGAGAAAATATTGTACGACACACAGAGGCACAAACAAACACAAACACAAACACAAACACACCCACCCACTCCCCCACGCACAAACAGGCACACACAAAATTATACGGTTGAAAGATAAAAGGGCGGCGGAACAGAATCACTTGTAAAAGCAGTATTACATTGCAGTACATTCCTATTTAATGTTAAAATTGCAATTTGGCATGTATCATTGTTTTAAAAATTGAGGATTAAAAATAATATCGCTTCCTCGATAAGATTTTGACGTTTTATATTATATCCATTAAATGATTATCAAGGTCCTATTATTTTATATCCATTTTAATATAAAGTGACACCAAAAAATTGTCTCAGCCTTTAAAGAGCCCTAAGTTACTTCTCACACGTTTACGTGGACATGTGCAACAAAAGATGGAAATAATGTAGTACGACTTGAATTTCACTCTAAAATATTTGGAAAAAGTGTACACCTCCTAGCTAGTTGAATGGAACAATTGCGTGTGAATAAAGTGTGCTTTAGTCGTCCGAGCTGAATTTTGTAATTATTTTAGCCATTTTATTTGTTATGCGTTTAAATAGAATGAAAAGTCTTTGTGACAGATTTTATTGTTTTACGGTGCATATGCATTATATAGAATTTTATGTGATGTGAATTTATTAATGAAATATATTGTTGTCCCATTTATATAATTACCTCGGTGTATATTGCAGAAACATTTATCGTTAGAGCAGCTTTTTTTTAGCTATGAAAGGATTTATTTCTGTATGAAAAATGTGTTTCTATTCATATAGACATTAAGGTCTGTGGTGGAAATGTTCTATTTATTAAGAAAGAAAATAAGAATACAATATTATAAAAATGTGCTTCAAGGATGTATTATTCTTCATCGATTCCTTAATGAATGTTACAATTAGTTTTTCATAGATTTTCATGAATATCAATGGAATTTATTTGCGAAACAATATTTCATATTAAATTTAATGTATTATATGATAATTTATCTATTTGTTTAAAGATCTTATTTTATATCCAAATACATGTGAGAAATCATAACGTTTGTTTTCGTAACTATTACATTTATTAACAAAAATAATCACTAAAGTACTTTAATGCAAAAAGTAGACGACGACTATGTCAGTGAAATTGTAAATATCTTATTAAAAATCTTCTATGTACTTCAAAACTGAAAAATAACTCGACGATAATGCTTAAGCACATGAAAATGTAAAATGTAAAATGTATGAGTATTTAACAGGTGCTTATAAAAGAAAGAATAGCATACAATTATATTTATATTCTTGAAAAATATGAAATATTTCAATTCAAGTGGTATCGACCATTTACTCGTGAATACTCGAAAATTTTGTGTTTATTTGTAAAATCTTGACTAACACCTATAGCAAGTATTATCAATCGATTAAAAATTTCGTTACATGTAAGATTATCAACGTAAAGGTCCCCGAAACATTTCCTCCACAAAGCTTAGAGGATATAATTTTTAGTAATGGCTTATAAAGGAGAGATTAGAGACAGTGTCAGATGAGCTTTTCCATGGACATTAATGTAACTCTACGAAAATTCGTAAAAGTGTTATCAATTTACTTTGTTGTATGTGTGTGCATATATATATATAATATATATATATATATATATATATATATATATATATATATATATATATATATATATAATATTTGTATATATGTGTATACATATATTATATATTATATATATATATATATACATATATTATATATATATATATATATATATATTTATATATATATAATATAATATATGTATATATGTGCATACATATATATATTATATATATATAATATATATATATATATATATATATATATATAATAGAATATATAGATATACGCAAACGAGATGGGAGCGAGACTGATAAACTGACTCGTTGCATGTTAATATTATTTATTGTTTTAAAAAATTATTTTCTATAACGTTGCAATTGCTATAGCATTATAGAAGAGATAGATAGATAGATAGATAGATAGATAGATAGATAGAGAGAGAGAGAGAGAGAGAGAGAGAGAGAGAGAGAGAGAGAGAGAGAGAGAGAGAGAGAGAGAAAAGTAAAAAGCTTCAATCGACCGATATTAAATGTGTTTTAACACGTATATGTACATAGTTATATAATGTATGTATGCAGGTATAATACGGCCGGATCAAAATTTTCAACTGGTGATCAGTGAAAAAGGCTTTTTAATGAATCAAACATGGTGCGAATTACAACCCGTTAAGAATAATAAACTATTATTAAATTATTCATTACGTGTTTTATTAATTACCATGTTACATCGATGATGAAGATTTTAATAAATAATTTTTTTTATATTGTAAATAATTTCAATCCTATTTAACGTATCGGCATTCACTGACGTGCACTGTTTATTCATTTATTATAGATTTTTAATAACTAGTTTCTCTAATGGAAATTGTACTCATAGCGCGTGTAAAAAGCCGCAAAGTATTAGGGAAAATGCCGTTTTGAGAATGTGCTTAAATTGTAAATGGAATCGTATGATTAAATGGCATATGATCGATCAGTCTCCAGGCATATCAGAAATTTTTTAATAAAATTTGGATTTAAAATAATGTGTTTTTAATGTCACGTAATGAACTTTAGCATTAATAGACCTTTATCACGTAAAATTGCTTGATTATTTAGTTATTAATGCGCCTTAACGACAGTTGTGGAGAGAAATTTTTTTGAAAAATTTACAACATAATATACCCACTCCCTTCCGTGTGGAACGCACATGAATTCTGTTAACCATTGGGAAAAGTCAGGTTACCGTATGATGGTAACAATGACCTCAGCATGGACGCTCCTCTCCTCCAGCATCGAGGCGTCCCTATCACGAGAGTACGTTGAGTCGCCACGGATTATGATAGATGGCGCAACGCAGTATCATATCGAGTCTCACACATGCCGAACGCTTGCGAAGAGGCGTGGAGGGGGATTAATAATAATAGCCGGTAGCTTTTAAACGCCGAACTTGGGTATTGGACGCATCAGCGGCAAGTGCGCGTCCTTAAATGAGCGAGCGAGCCAGGTTTTCTCCGTAATACTTTGCTAATGAGATCGATTGAACGACGGGGATTAGCGAAGATTGGCGAAGCTTATGAGATTATTGACTGGACTATTGGCGCGAATGTGACTCGATCGATTACACGCCCTGGCATGTGTATCCGTGAAATTTATTTATGATCAATTGTCAATCGACGCCCGCCTCTCCAGAAATACGAACGAACAGACAAACATAAAGATGGAGGAAAATAAACAAAAAATAAAAAAACAGGAAATTGGAGAAAGTTTGGGGCGAGGCAACGAACGACATTTATCTTTAATCTATAGATCTATAACTTTATATTATTTAACGATAGATCGATACCACCAGGGCTGCATTCGTTAACGAGGGAAAAATGTTATGAAAAATGTTAGGGGATGTACGTATCGACGTACCGTCCCTTTCTAACGTACTTGAATGACCGAATAATTTTGAGGTTCCGAAGGAGAGATAAAATGGGATGCAAACGAGTGTAGAGATGTATCGGCCATGTCTATATCACTTAGCAGGACCTAATCGCAGCCGATACTTCGTTCCATTAATTAAATTTCATTGATAATCTAATTATAGTACAAGCAGTGGAGAAAGTCGATTATTTTTAGGGAGTTCGAGGAAGGATGACGCTGCGATTTTTTGAGGCACTTTGATGCTAAATTATCGATCTTGACGATGATTCTCGCGGATATTTCGGATATTACGGGCAACTAGTGAAATAATATCACATGGATTTATCAATTCGTCAATTGACGTTGACTTGGCCCGTAAGGATTTATGGCTGATTATCGCCTGGATTTTCACCCGATGGCTTAATTCTATTGGCGGCGAGCTGTGGAGAGGCCAATGATAATAGAAAATATGCGAGTTGGGTCGTCGAGAGTCGAAATGATTACATAAAAAGGGGCTGGTTCGGATTGGTTGGCGGGGATGGGGTTGGTTACGGGGACGCGTCACGTATCCCGAAATTTCCTTTTCGGATTTCCGTAGAAGTGAAAAAGCCGATGCTCCTGCCGTTTGTGTGCGTGCGCGATACGTGAGCGGCCAAGGCTGCTGCCAATGGTCGTCAGCACAACCGACGCAGCAGGTCAGTTTTATTGCAAAGTTCTTCGTCCCCTAGTGTATATTGGCACGGTTATCGATAGCTTCATTATCCGTTAACTATTTCTCCAAGGTTGTTTTGCGCCTCGACGAGTTTCCCGACTCTTTCAACGAACCAGGAGAATGCGCATCCTGCTAGGTGGACGGGACGCTCTGCTCGCGATTAACGACGAGAGACGCGGCTACGTCTATGTTGAAAGAATTCCGCCGAAGGTTAATCAACATCCGACCTTATTCGAATTCAAAAAGGATCCTTAGTCAGGAGCATCGTCGAGCCATGGCGGTGTGCGCACATTTTTCAGGGATTAAATTTCAAAATAACCTTAATGCATGGTGCGCGTTACGCTGGAGGGCTTCTCAGCGCTAATTTCATCATGGAGATTAATTCACGCGTTTGCCGTGCGCTTTGAAGGAAAGGAATGGAGAATTTTACGCGAGCCTCGGCCGTTATTAATTAACGTTTGAAGACAGTTGGATCGATCTTAATAATGATCATTTGGCAAGCCGAGATGGGGATGGTGATGCGATGGATATTATTGGCTAACACCGCTCGCTCTCCGTTTATATTTGCTTTTGAGTATCCATTACTTGCCGCCTTCGCGTCCAATTCTTCCACAAACTTGATATCGATCCATTCCCCTTACGTTCCCTCTCTGTCTTTCACGTTAATTTTTTAATTTTCATTTTTGCAACAAAGTATGCAGCATTGCAAATATCCTGTTTACGGCCTGTGGTCGCGCGCAATATTTGCAAAGCCCATGCCGAATCGGCTA